CAGAAGTCATGGTGGGTATCAAAACCCATAAACCTCTGACTGCTCAAATTCTACCTTGACAATGACTGTTCCCTGTGGGGTTCAGCGAAGAAAAAAAACACAAAGGAAAACAAATATCCATTCATATCAGCTAGACTTTTGTAAACAGGACCTCTCTTTAGCTAACTGGACTGGATGAGACCAAAGGACGCCTCTTCCTTCCTTAAGCCAAAACCGAAGTATCCTCTTCTGGACCCAAAGGCAGGCAGTACACTGAAGAGATGAGGGTCCTAGAGTGTGCTTAAGAGACTAACAGAGATACATGGCCACAGGTCCTCTGGCAAAGTCCCCACCCTTTGAACTGTCATCAGCCTTCGAAAGTGACCTTGTCATAGAGTGCTCCTGCCATGCACAGTGTACCCAGCGAGTATCCTGGAAGCAGGGTAACAGTTCAGCATGCCCTCTCCTTGGGAAAAAGCCAAGAAACGAGAGGAGAAGGCCAGGGCCATCCATCCATCCATCTCCCAGGATGCCAACGCCAAGGAAGGAAGACTCCATCCGTTTCAGCAAACAAGATTTTGTCTGATATGGTCCCTGGGCTGATAGAGCAGTCTTCAGAACGTGGGAAATGGCACGGAGAAAAAATATTATGGATTTCTGCCTCAAAACTGTGGGCTGTGGAAAGAGCAACCTATCATTTCTGCCCTGTAATTTCCCTCCTGACCCGAAGAGTCCTGAGCTAGTAGTTCATCCCCAACCTCAAGGTCCTATGGCTTTCGGGTGCGATTTCCCTTCAACCCACTGCCCGCTATCACCAGGGAGGTCACCACAGCTAGAACAAACTTCCTGAGGCAGAGACTTTTTCTATTTTTGCACTTCCACAGTGTCCTTTAAATAGGTAGTGTAGAAAGAGCTCTTAAAACCCAACTGGGACAAAAGCCCCATCTGACAGATCAGAAAGTGAGGCTAAGGAGGGCCTGACTGGCATGTGGACCAATTCCAAATTGTCTGCCTTTGAGCTCAGTGCTGTGTCCACTGAACCAGGATGTCCCAATCTCAAGTCAGTTCCCCTAAACACAGCTAGGCACCAAGGTTTGCAAAGCACATGTTTCCATGTGTATAAATATTCATGTAATAAACCATGTCATATATATTCATTAGAGTAGAGTACTGCCTTCACAACCTCCAGCTGGGTCTAAAAACCAAGTAGTAGAATTAAACATGCACCATAATTTCATTTCTGCCTCCCCTGCCCCAACCACATCAACAGTCTCCGTGTGTGCTTCTGCCTTGTGTTTTTGTGCAACTGTGTCTACGAGTATCCATGTCTGTGTTTTCAATGCATCCCAGGGTAGCCCACTAGTTAACAGTGAGTCTTATGGGTGGGAAATTTTCTTCCTTTTATTCATGTAGCATGGCTACATGGTTTACATGAGCATGCATGAATTTTGCAATTTAGAAATAAGGAGTGAGAAATAACAGCTGCGATGTACCATGAATTTTGCAATTTAGAAATAAGGAGTGAGAAATAACAGCTGCCATGTACTTATAAGCGAGGCACAACATCAGGCCCTTCATCTGCACCGCCTTGTTTCATCCTCCCCGTGGCTCTAGGACTGGACTATGCTTATACTCCAGGAGTGGGAACTGAGGCTTTGAAAGAGGACACGCAGTTGTGATGTGGCAGAGCCAGGATCTGAATGGAGCACTGTCCACCATGAAGCCGCACACACATTTTCCCTAAGAGTTCCTTCCTTTTCGCCTGCACTCAGTAGACAAGGAGTGCATCTCTCTCAGGAATGTCAGCCACTTGTCCCCAGTTGCTTCAAAGCAGAGAACAGGCTGCAGCTGCCTGGCCATGGGAGCTCTGCGGGTCTGCTCCGTCTGCCGCGTCCCCCTCTCCTGGCCCATCCTGCTCCTCCATCCTCACCATTCTTGGCAATGATCTCTCCATGTGTGAATTCCATTAAAGGCTCTCTCACTGCTATTTTGGGCCATGCATTAGCACATAGGCTTTGATTTGATGGGAGAAAGCCAGACACCCCGGGATAATAAAAAAGACATTTGTCCTCTCCCTTACCCCAGAGACCCAGAAACCCCTGCCCATTGCTCTTGAGATGCCTGAAAATCCAGTATATGGAGAAATACTATATGGATCCTGAGGAAGGGGAGGATAGAAAGCTTCATAATCTATAGGGCCTCTCCCTGAATTGTCCCTCCCACTGTCCACATGGCTTGGACCCAGGGGTCCTCCAGGTCTCTGCTCAAATATCAGTTCAACAAGGACTTCCCTGACCACCAATCATAACCAATACCCGCCCCCAGTCACAGCACCTGTCCTTATAGACTCTCCAGGGAGCCTGTCCAGTCACCGGCTTGCTCACTGTCTTCCCTAGTTAGGGTGCAAGAGCCTTAAAGACAGAACGGTTGTATCCACAGCTTTACCCAGAGTGCCTGTGCTGGGGCCTGGAACTTACAGAGGCATAGTAATGAAAAGAATGAATGAATGGGTGGAGGAGGGTGCAAACCAGAGCCTGACAAATCACTCACAGGGCCTCGTTGCCCCCCAGATGTCACCGTCTTAGAGAAACTTTAACATGCCAGCTTGAAAAATCAGAAAAAGCCTCTCCCCCGTTCCAAAGCTGTTTTGAATCCAGACTCACATGCTCCATGAATGAGAGGGCTTTGGGAAATAAACACACGAGGAAGTCGTGTGCAGTTGGAGTTCCGCTCACTAACACATGTTCAAAAACAAAAATCCCCATTTGGATGAAAATAGCAGGAAGCCATCCCCCAGGGACACCTGGTGAGGTCATGCTGCTTGGCTCTGCTGCTTCCATTTTTGTCAACTCTCCTGCTTCTGCCAAATTAAGGAGGCCGGGAACCAACCCCATCCAGCCCCAGGCGCTCACTGAGACACAGCTGGGCAGCAGGCAAGAGAACCTCACCGTGGGCAACATAAATCACGGCAGCGGTGGGTGACCACTCTCCTCCCGCCCTCTAAGCCCTTCCTGAGACCACCTCATCCCATCCTCACAACCATCCTGTGAGGCTGGCTCTACTATCCTCGTTTTGTAGATCAGAACACAGAAGTTCCAAAGAATTTGCCAGGTGTGCCATTGCATGCCTGTAATCCCGGTGACTCCGGAGGCTGAGGCAGGAGAACTGCAAATTCAAAGCCAGCCCCAGCAATTTATCTCTAGGTCCTAAGCAACTTAGAGAGACCCTACCTTAAAATGAAAAATAAAAAGGCTGGGGATGTGGCTCAAAAAAAAAAAAAAAAGAGAGAAAAGAAAGAAAGGAATCTGAGGGATGTAATGGTTTACCCCAGGTCACATTCTGTGAATCTAGAATGAAGCCAAGAATACAAATAAGCTACCCAAGTCTTATCTCTCTTGTTTTCTTGCTGTGTGACCTTACACAAGTGCCTATCCCTGTCTGAGTCACAGTTTCAATAGCTGCATATAGACTACTGTATTCAATGCTTTCTAAGGTGTCTTCCTGTTCTAACTTCCTATTAGATCTTGCAAAAAAAATTCAAAACGGGAGGGAAGAACAAGGTCTCAAGTCCTGAGGTCTCTGCTTGGTTGATCCAACTCTTAAGTCTTTGCCCATAACACCAACACCAGAGGAAGCCTAAGGGCTGTACGGGGGGCAGAACAGGACAGATTAAACTCAGGTGACAATAGGAAACATTTAGACCAGAACCAAAGCACTGAAGGACTAAAGCAGGCCCCTGAGAGCTCTCCAGAACAATCCCTGTAAGGGTCTTTTTCCTATAGGACCCCGGGAGACAACCAAAGAGAAGCCCTGGGCAAGGAGGTCCTGCACCCTCTGGGGATGCAGCCAGCCAGATAGGTTCCAGGAAAATGGGAGAAAAGAAACATTCCACTAAGCCAGTAAAAGCCTAGTTACACTCTGGAGGAGAGTTGCAAAAGTAATGGCAATGCCCAGCCCTCTGTCTTCCCGAAGGCCGCCACATCCCAGGGCAGAGGAGAGATGTGAAGGAAGCCTCCTTATCACCCCAACTGCTAAGCTGTACTCGCACCACACTTGGGACACCACTCATCCTCCTCTGCAAGCGTCCAGAGAGGCCAAATTTGGAATAAATTATATTGTCCCTTTGCACCCAAGCCAAGCACCATTCCCATCCTCTGGGACATGCAAGGCCCTTCTCCATCCCTTTCTTGGCAGTGATGTATTTGATTACTCATCAGCTTCCAGTGGGGGTTGGAGGCTGCCAAGAGGAGACGGGCAGCTCTCCAAGGCATGCATCCTTATCTTCAATGTCCACGTGGTGGGTGAAAGTGGGACTGTTGGTGAGGAGAGTACAGAGGCCTTCAGAATCCCTCAGGCAAGTAAGGAGAGCCGCTCAGTGGCCAGGCAGACCGTGACTAGCCAAGGAAGTTCTGGGTTATGTCTACTCACCCCTCAATGATAAAATCAAGACACAACTACGCCTGGTGGCAAATCAATGTGGAAACGGTTCTGAGCCAGGCACTACCCAAGGTGGATGAGGTTAGGGACCTGGAGGAGCTGGGGCCTAGTGAAGCCAGGAGACTGCAGACAGTGCCCTTATTGGCCAAATCTCAGATGTAACTGACCCAGGATAGATGGACCAGAGGCGCCCAGTGGCGGCATGCTCTGCCTGGCCTCTCTCTGCTGATTGCCTTCGCTTCCTGCCAAGTGCTAGGCCTGAGCTAATAAGGCAGCCACCTCCTGCTCATCCCCTCCATTAACCTCACATATACACCAACCAGGGCCTGCAAAGAGCTCCAAGAGGCACCGGAAATATAGCCTAAGAAAGTTTAGGCAAGACGTTAGGAGTCCAGTGATTTCATCTTTCACAGCAAGTCAAGAGACTATGCAAAAGCCCTGTCTTGGCAAGATGCTCCCCTACAGGGACCAAGGATTGATAGCTTGGTGTCACTCCACTAAATGCTTCCTTCCCAGTGACACCTGTGTCCTTGTTGACAGAGAAGTTAATTGTTTCATTTCAGACAAAGAAGGAGTCCACTTACTCATTCTTCTCCAGGTCCAGGATCAGTTCTCGCCCCTCGGCCATTACCCTGAGCTCAGCTTTGAGTGGATGCTAAAAGGAACAACAACAACAAAATGTTAGTTCCTAAAAGCAGGGACCCTGGCTCCCAGGGTCAGCACAGTGCTCACACATGGATCCACAGGAAGCGAGCAGGAAAAGGTCAATTGCATTTCCAGCCCAAACACGAACTGACTTCAGTCCCAGAATGACCCAAATCCTTCCCCCATCTGCTTTCTCCTGAGAAGCAAAGGAAAGAATCTACAAGCCAAGATTCTGTGGAGGTGCATGCGTGCGGCCTGGCCAAAGGAAACACAGGAAAGCAAGATCCTCAACAGTAAATTTCCTGGGGAGTTAGCCTTGGAGTCTGACACCTGCACCTGTGCAAACCTGGATGTGTCACCAACCCTCCCTACAACAGATCATTTGAGATTCACAAAGGGCCCATGCACATGAAAATCTCTCAACATTATGGGTGAATCATACCCCCACGCACACTCTAAAATATATGCCATACCTGACATGAAGTCAAAGTGACAAAGATCATCTTAAACCACAAATCGTAATGCAGTAAAATAGGCATTTCGTACCCTAGGACAGGGAATTCAAATTGACACCAACCCTCTGGAAAATAATTTGACTATATGGACCAAGAGTTTTAAAAATTGTTAAACCATTTTATTCAGTAATATAAGACCAGCTGAAGAAGACAAACAGAAGCACTGGCAAAGGTTTGTCAACAAAGATGCTTAATATGTACAATAATAAATAATGAAATATAACCTAAATGTCCCAAAGTAGAATGTTCAAATAAACAATGACTCATTCATAGGACAGAACACTATAAACTCATTGAAAACAGGGATTTTAAGTAATTTTTAAATTACTAAGAAAGTTTACACAATAAGCATTAGGCAAAAGGCTTCAAATTTAACACTGTATATTTTATTTAAATACATTTTTGTAAGATGGGTATGTAAGGTGTGCACGCCTGTAATCCCAGCAACTTAGAAGGCTGAGGCAGGAGGATCACAAGGTAGAGGCCAGCCCCAGGCACCTTGGTGAGAACCTTAGCAACTTATCAAGAGCCTGTCTCAAAATGTGGCTCAGTGGCAAAGCACCTCTGGGTTCAACTGCAAATACCAAAAATAAATAAATATGTTTTATAAAAAAGGAGGGGTCATGAAAATAGAAGGAAGGCCAGTGGAGTAGAGGAAGGGGACCAAGGGAAAGGATGAGGGAGGAAAAAGGGAGGTAGTGGCAAATGAAATTGGCCAAGTTTTGTGCATGTTCAAATATGTCACAATGTGTCCTACTTTTATATATAATTACAATGCCCCAATCAAAAATTAGTTAAAAACAAAATAAGCAAAAAAATACTTATATATATATATACACACAAACACACACACACACACACACACACACACACACACTTTTGTAAAGAGAAAAGGTAGAGAGAAATAAACCTAAAGGTGACCATAGTTACTCTAAGCAGTGGGATTATGAGTTAACTTTATTTTCTTTTGTACTTCTTTCCATATGTTTATAATTGCTTATATCATTTAAGAATAGAAAATTTCAAATAAATCCGAAAGTTAAATCATAATAAACCTACATCATAATAAACCTTGAAGTGCTTAAACATTTCAAGTCAAGGCTATTGAACTTTCCTTGAAGAAATAATCTTTTAAAAAGTTTAAAAAAACATTCATGTATTAATAATAGTAAATATTCTTTGGGGTATATTTATTTATTTATACAGGGGTGCTTTACCACTGAGCTCCATCCCCAGCTCTTTTATATTTTCATTTTGAGACAGGGTCTCACTAAGTTGCTGAGGCTGGCCTACAATTTGTGATCCCCCTGCTTCAACCTCCTGAGTTGCTGGGAGTGTCACCAGGTGTCACATGTTAGAGTTTTCTAACTTGGAACCAAGGAACTGATAGATTCTTAAAGTCCCTTCAATCCACAAACGTACTTATGGAGCTTCTACCCCTTTTAAGGGTGACTCTAACTTAGTTCTGGCATCTCTGAGAAAGTGGGTCACCTGTTCTGTCACCTCTGGTTAGGCACCTGCGTTTTTCTAGCACATTCTTTCTTCCTTGTAGCAAAGCCCACTCCCCCCATTAGGGTCCAGCATCCCTGATGAACTCTGAATGTTCCAACACGGACTCTTGGGCAACCTACCTATTGCCTAATTAATCCTATTACCTCATTTTAAGAAGGGACATTGCAAACCCTGGGGCAGGAAGCTGGGGGATATGTTTGCCCAATCACTTTCACTAAAAGATTCACCTCTCCATTTCTGCCACCTTGATTCAGCTTTGCCAGCACCTATTCTGGTAGCAAGGTCCTTTGCCACTTTTACTCCAGGGAACCCCAGAGCAAGTGCCCTGTCCAATCACACTGAGCACCAGGGACAGAGCCCCACGTGAGCATTTGAGAAAGAGCACACAGCGACAGAGCTGTGGCAATTATCCAAGAGGCAGACAACCACGTGAGGCCCACGTAAAAAAAGACTGTTGGCACACTCGCAGCACTATCACCTCTCCCCCAAAGAGACACGAGCTGCCCCATGAGTACTAAAACTTATTTTTATATGGGGAATCCAAAAACAATTCTCTCTGCTCTGGAAGGTGTTTAGACACTGATACTTAAAATAAGATGTTGCTTGTTTCCAGGGGACATTTGAAATGAAACTACATTTTGAGGATCTATGAAGCTTCCCTGTCCAGCCCTCCTGACCAGCTCTATGCTGGGGAGGGGGCAGCAACAGCTCTCCCAGAAACCCTAGGGAGCTGACCCTCTGTCAAAATTGCCCAAGGGAAGGGTCAAAAGTCCTTTGTGTTTAGGGCTAGACTAAATAGATCTTCAGCTCTATAAGTTATTGGAAACCTGACCTATTCGTTTATATGCGCCTTAAAATCCAGCAGAGCATTTAGTATCTCAGAGTCTAACTCATGTTTAGCAAATGAATGAAATACGTAATAGAATAAGACATCTGAATGAAATCCAGCTTTGATTTCCTCTCTCTCTCTCTCTCTCTCTCTCTCCCTCTCTCTCTTTCTCCCTCCCTCCCTCCATCCATCCCTCCTTCTCTCTGACATTCATTCAACAAATATTTATGGTGCTGGGCACTGTGCTCACTGTTCCCTCAGAACACAATAGCCCACGTTCTGGGCAGACAATGGTTGGGAACAAAGACAGGATTTGGTCCTCTGCTTTGTTCCTCAGCCCTTCCTGAGGATGCCTGGCATCTCACATCTGGAAGGAACAAAGAAGCCTCTATAAAAAGTATCAGATCCATTCCTCAGGCAATAATGGTGGGTTGAAATATCCAAGATCTGAATTCTTAAAAATAATCTGCTCTAGGATGGCCATTCATTAATTTGTCTAGATTTGTTCCTGAAATTATTTTCAGCCTTTCCTACTTTTTGACAAAATGATTTGCTGCTTTTAAGCCAAAATGTCCTTGCTTTTATCTGCCCTAAGTTTCATTGTGAGTTCCTCCTAATAAACCCAAGTGGAGCATTTGGGGACATGTGTGTACCACTCTCACTATAACTTAGAGAATGCTAGGCATTTCTCTTCTCCACTCAGTTTCCAGACTCAAAAGCCACAATGTCTGAAGTCTTTCCTGATGCATCTCTCTCCTGCTATCATCTTGCTTCTAAGTGCTGATAAATCACACACCGTTTGAACCCAGGGCTCCTAGAAGCCAGTCCCTGTCTCCAGTTTTCCTCCTGCTTATTCCCTCTAAGATGCATTTTATAAATGAGGAAGCTCAAGTTCTTTAGAAGATCACATAGCAGCCTACTGCCATATAACAAGAACATCTTCCTTTCTGCTTTTCATGTCTCACTTTCAGCAGTGAACCCCAGAACCAGAAACAGTGTCCTAGACACACAGGTCCCAATATTTTCAGTTTTGTTCCCAATCACCTTGATAAAGCTTCCACATTTTACTGGTGTTCTGGCCCAAGGAGACTATAGGATTTTAACATACATTTCTCAGGCCTAGGTCCAGCCCTGCTTCTTATTAAAAATAGTTTAGATCCAGGATAGTAGCAAAAACCTGTAATCTCAGCTACTCAGGAGGCTGAACCAGGAGGATCACAAATTTGAGGCTGACCTGGGCAACTGACCAAGGCCCTTTCTCAAAATCATTTTTTTTTAAAGGGCTGCAAATAGAGCTCAGTGATAGAGCACTTGTCTAGCATGTGTGAGACGCTGGTTCAATCACCAGTACCACAAAAAAAAAGAAAGATTAGGAGTTTAGATTAGCCCTTTTCTATCCAAGCCCATAATCCTGTTAACAAAACGAAGCACCTATTATGCAAAGCAAAAAATAAAATGACAATATTTAATATATTCCAATCAAAAGTGATTTCCATGACACTATTACATTTGCACTTTTTTTGTGTCAGCATTAGTGTGAATTTTCATTTTTCTCAACTAATAGCATTTGGAATTTTCTAGAAGTTTGTCATACAATGAAGGAAAGTCCCATTGAAGATATCCAAAACCAACCCAGAGAGGATCAAGTGAGAAAAGCAGAACCAGTGGTAATGACTGAGCCTCCAAGAGCGCTTAGTAAGTGGCCCCAAGCCTCACAGAGTTGTCAACTCCTGCCCCTGAAGATGAGAGCTTTAGACTCTTACCTTTTCTTTCATGGGGCTTTCTGAAGTCTTCCACTGAGGTATTATGAGTTCATGCTGTAGCTGGGGGCTGCCTTCCTCACTTCCTCCTGCCAATACAAGATGCAGAACCATGGGAAGCCGACCCTCCATACCTTAGCCAAGCCATATATGTACTTTCTGTGACAACTACTGCCACCTGGAGAGAACTCTGCAGGGGGTCTTCAGAAGACCCGCTGGTTGCAGGTTCTTGATACTCCTCCGGGGCTGTGGACTCTTCCAGGTGTTGGTTATAAAGTGGTGAACAGGACAAACAAGGTCTTTGTACTCACCAAATCTACCTTACAGAGGTGAGAGACAGAAAAGGAACAAACACTGTGGTGCTAAGTGCCCTGAAGAAAATAAAATAGGGTCATGGAATAGAGACACCTGGTGCGTACTTGAGACAGAGGGAGAAGTGTCCCCAGGAGAGCAATCCCCCCAGCTAGTGCAATGCCTGGGCAGAAATGGACTTGGCCTAAGGAATGAGAAGGTAGAGTGAAAGGAAGTCAGTGAGAGAGTGGTCAGCAAGACAGCTGCGGGTCTGATAAATGTAAAGCCATGGAAAGTGCCTGGATCTTATTATAAATAGACTTGGAAGGCAATGGATGTTTTAAACACAGTGCAATCTGATCTGTATTAGGTTTAAAAAGATCACTCTGTCTGCTGAGTGGAGAATGGGAGTGGGGGGATGGGGAAGCATGGAGGGGCTGGGAGTAGAAGCAGGAAGGAGGCTGGAGACTAGCAGGAGCCCTGGTGAGGGATGGCAGTGGCTCAGACTTGAATGACATCAGTGGAGAGGAATGAAGTGGTGGGATTCTGGGTATAAGCTAGAGGTTAAACTCAAGGGTATTGTTCCCACTGAGCTTTGGTTTTCTCGTTGAGGATAGTGATACCCACCTGCCCATCTCACAATGTTTGGGGGGGAAGTCAATGTGAAATTCCTTTCCCACTGGAGAGAAATCACATGTAACTTGAGCTAATGGCAAGTTTGCATATGTATTTTACTTCCTACTCAACAAATCATTCTCACGCCAACCCTGAGAAGTAGGCAGCAGTATTTCTAGATTGCAAGAAGGGGAATTGAAATTATGGGGTAGATATATTCAAGGGGAAGAGCAGATGTTAAACACGGGTTCCAGATTATCTTAATGAAATGAGAATTTCCTAAGACCTAAGCAAATTAGTCTCAAGAAGAAGCTAAGCCCAAAGGACTTCTGGGGATGGGGGTAAAGGCTCCAAAACTATTCATTCTAAACCAACCCTATCAATTACATAGAATGTAATGAGTGATATAAAAGATGGCTGTAGTTCCATTAGAGTTGTAGGATGGATTATGATTGATTATTATCTTTCCTTTCAGATTACTGAGGTGATATACTTGCAATCAAAATATATCATAATGGTGGAATGAGATGAATATCATTACCCTAGGTACATGTATGAAGACACGAAGGGTATGACTCTACATTGTGTACAATCAGAGAAATGAAAAAATTGTGCTCCATTTGTGTATTATGAACTGAAATGCATTCTGCTGTCATGTATAAGAAATTAGAATAAAAAATTTTAAAAATCATAAAAAATAATTTATTCAACAAGCATTAGCTTTCTAACACAAGTTAAAAAAAATCAGAAGCAACACATTACCAAATATTTTTTGAGTTCTTGACTATGTGCTGGGTACTATGCTAGGTTCTTAATACTCATGGGGGGAAAAGACAGGCACAATCCCTATCCTAAATCTAGATTATTTAAACAAAAAAGAATTATATGATATTTAATGGAATATTTAAAGGCACTAAATGATATTTATCACATCTTTTTCTAACAATCAAAAAGTTGGTACAAACTTGGAAACAAGGCAAGGAGAAAGCAGAACTCTCTCTAGTGTCAGATTGGAGCCCTCCCATGGATTACTGACTTATCTAAAAGAATGTACCTTTGACTTTTTATTCACTATTGACTAAAAGCCTATACTCTATAAAGATACATATGAACTACAGTTTTCTCTTGGGAAGATACAAATGATTTTGCCATGGTAGAAAGATGACCAAGAATTACGGTTATTTTATGCTTGGGGCATCCACCACTTCTGTATCTGTCTTAGCCACAAGATTTCAACACTCTTTCTCCAATACCTTTATGACCCTGTTACTGTAATTCTCCTTTCCACCAACTTTACCCTCCTATTCATTGCCTTATTAATGAAATGAGTACATCTGTGCCACATTTGTATGAGTCCAGTTTCTAACTTTTTGAAAATTATATTTCTGCAGTCTCTTGATGGAATTTGTAGTCATAAAAAGTATGTTGTTGTTGTTGTTTTTCAGCATGATGGAGCATGCCTGTAATCCCAGCAAATGTAGAAGCTGAGGCAGGAAGACCGCAAGTTTGAGGCCAGCCTCAGCAAATCTGCAAGACCCTCAGCATCTTAGTGAGACCCTGTGTCAAAATTTAAATAAAAATGAAAAGGTGTAGGAATGTAGTTCTGTGGTAAAGCATGGGTTTAATACCCAGTACCAAAAAAGTAAAGAAAAAAACAGTTGTAGTTTTGGAGAATGTAATGAATTGGGAAATGCTTGTAATGTGAAGTGAAAACTGCAAGACACAAAACTTTATGGTACGATTCCAATGTTATCAATATATATTTTTAGGCACACAAGAAGACGATAGGGGAAAACAAAAATATTAATAGCAACTGTGAATTGGGGATTGCATGTCATTTCATTTCTTTTCCACTTTTTATTACTTCCCAGGTTATTGTACAGCTAAGGTCTGTGAGGACTCAGACTCAGAGCACTGGCTTTCCTGTCCTTTCTGCCTGCTTTTCTCCTGCAAGAAGCACAGACTCATGCCTCCCACTGGACTTCAAAATCAGAGACGAATAGAACCTAGTTCCCTCTTTCTCAAGAAGCCCCTAACCATGGAGAAATTATGGAATTTCTCATTTCTTGGACTTACCGTGAAGCCCCAGGGCCATGATTTCCCTTTTGGCACAAGAGCTTTAAAAGGCGGTTCCATCCGCCCGCGGACGCGCGGGAGGACCTTGGGATCTCGCACTGCAAGCTCCGCACGGTCCCCGCCAGCACAGCCTCCTCGCTCTACCTCGGCTAAGAATGCAGCCTGTCCAGGCCCCACCCGGCTCGCTCTCTCTTGATTTAAAAACGCTGACAGTTGGTCCTGCAAGCGTCGGTCTGGAGTCTGCCCAGCCAGTCTGCGGCGGCGGCAGAGTGAGGGCTAAGGTTTCTGGGGTCATAAAAAGAACACGGTCACCGCCCCCGGGGAGCGCCTCTGAGATCGACCCAGAGAAAGAGTGATGTCTGGGAAACTAGTTGTGAGAACAGCAGAGTTCACCGAACATCAAAGCTTTACGCATTGAGTCCAATCCCTTTACTTTATACAGAAGGGGAAACTGAGGCCGGATGAGGTCGGATAGGATGGAAAGAGAGCCCTGGTTTCCAGCCTGCACAACCTCAATCTGTGGCGGAGCTATGGGCAAGTCCTTTCCCTTTTGTGGGCCTCAGTTTCTCATCTGTGTAAGGGGTGCGCTGGACTTGACCTTTATTCAGTAGGGTGGTGGGGTGGTTCAATGGTTATCGCCAGTTCCAGGGTCTGCACATCACAATAGGCGATACCCAGCGAGACACCTTACCAGCAAGTCCCGGGGGCATTTTATTTTCTCCCACCCGCCTGCGCCTGGCACAGAGCATGGTGCCAGGGGGCTGCTCTCCAGGCCGCGTGGGCAGACGGTTGGGATGCTGGAGCACGGCCAGGGCACTGGACACTAGAGACAGGCGGAGCGAGGATGAGGGACCATGAGAAAAGAGGAGAGATCAGGAGAGCAGCGGAAAGAGAAGCCAAACGCAGAAAAACAGAGGAAGGAGAAAGAGAGGGGGAAGGCAAGCCAGCGAGAGGACCGGCTGTTTTCTGCTAGCTCCAGGTCTCCCCATCTCCACTACCTCCCGGGGGGCACCAAGTGGAAACAAAGCCTGGAATCCTAGGCTTGGGGCGGCCGAGGCGCAGGCCCCGGGGAGTTGCAAGGGGGAGCAGAAATCGCGGTCCCGACGCTCCGGGAACGGGGGAGACTCCCAGGTCCCTGAGCCACGCAGCCCACCCTCCTCCATCACCCCCAACGCCCCGCCACTTACTTCTCGTCCATCCCAGCTCCCGAGCCGCCCGCGGCCGGAGCAGCTGCAGAGCCAGAGCCAGCAAGCAGAGCCGGGCGGCGCCCGCGCCCCCGGGCATGGTGACGGCGGCCCCTCGCTCTCCGTGCTCACACGCCCTCTGCCATGCCTGCCCCCGGCCCAGCGGCAGTGGCGGCGCGTCTGCAGCCGACCGCTCGCCTAAAAGCCTCCGCTCCCGGCTCCCAGCCCTCTGCCGAGACGCTCCGCCCCCAGCCCCGCGGGGCTCGGCCAAGGGGATGGAGGAGGGGAGGCGCGGCCGGGAGGGGGCTTTGGGACTGGCCAGGGGAGGAGCCGACGAAACCCCTGGGGAGCCAGGCTGACTCAGGTGAAGGGGACTTCCGCTAGGGTCACCCGAGCCCACGGAGGAGATGGATTCACGGTGGATGCGGCCTGGGGAGAGTCGGGGGGCTTGGGTTTGTTAAGAGTAAAACTAGACCCCTCGTTGCATCGCGGTCGGTTGAGTCAGTCCTGCACTGTGCTAGTCGCTGTGGGTGACAGAGGCAACGGACCCAGCGCTGTGCCCCCCGAGGCCGCCACTCTTGGAGGCAGGCTCCTAAAGAGTTAACCCAACCACTAGGCACGGAGAACTAAGTACTATATGGAGTTGTTTTCTTAGCAGGACACAAATCAAGGAGCCAGCCATTTCTTCTGGCTGGGGGAGGGGGGTAAAGATCAGGAATCCCAAGGGGAAGACATCTGAGCTCCGGAGGAGGAGAAATGGAACACTAGGCGGAAGCACCAGACTGGACGAACTGCTGAGGCCAGAAAGCCCAAGGACCTTGGAGGGGCAGGGGGCAGAATTCCCGATGGTGAGGGTAAAGGATTTGGGATGAAATAGAAGATGAGACCTAAAATAGCGACCATCACTTACTGACTACTTATCTCTAGAATGAGAAAATCACAGCTAGGAGTATCAGACCCTACCCTCAGCACCTTATGTGTACTAATTTAACATAATAAAGGCCTGTTATTTTTTCTTTCCATATGTTTATTGTAGTTGTACACAATGATGGGATTTATTGTTACATATTCATACATGCACACAATATAACAATATAGTTTGGCCAACATCACTCCCCAATACTTCCCCCCTCCCTCTCCTCCTCCCATTCCCTCCTTGCCTCTACTGACCTGCCTTTGATTTTTCATTAGATTCCCTATCCCCCACTTCTTTTCCCTTTTCCTCTTTAGCTTCCACTTATGAGAGAAAACATGTGACCCTTGACCTTCTGAGTTTGGTTTATTTTCCTTAACATAATGGTCTCAAGTTCCATCCATTTTCCTGCATATGACATAATTTGACTTTTCTTTATGGTTGAATAAGACTCCATTGTGTGTATATAACACATTTTCTTTATCCATTCATCTGCTAATGCTTCCATAGTTTAGCTATTGTGAATTGTGCTGCTACAAACATGGGTGTGCATGCATCACTGTGGTATAGTGACTTTAATTCTTTAGGATGAATACCAAGGAGGGGTATAGTTGTTCAAATGGTGGTTCCATGTAAAAGTTTGTTATTGGCCTTTATATGTACTAGGGATACTGCATACTTTATCTCTTAATTAATTCACTAATCCTATAGAGTAGGATTAATGAATTAATTAAGAGTATTATCCTTGTTTAGAAATGAGAAAATCAAACCTGAGAGGCTAAATAAGTCAGGGTCTGGATTCAAACCCAGATCTTTACAACTTCAGGATCCAAAGTAACCCACCTTATTTTGCCATGGAGAAACTGATAACCAGAGAAAAGTGATTTGTCTAAGATCCTTTAGCAAAGCTCAGTTCTAAAAATGAGGCCCCAGACATCCTATGAATCTGTTCCTTCCACTGAGCCTCATTGATCAAGCCCAGATTTGTACAGTTGAACAAAATGTTATGTGTTAGGAAGACCAAAGAACTCCTGAAAACCATGATAGGTGTGTCAAAGCCTGCCTATGGTTCCCCAGGAGGAAAATAAAACATGTAGTTCTGGTCATTGGTGTGTAAGTCTCTGTATAAGTCTCATCCAGCTGCCATAATAAAATACCACAGACAGTGGCTTAAACAGCAGAAATTATTATCTCACAGTTCTGGAGGCTTGAATTCTCAAGTTCCAAGTGTAGTCAGAGTTGGTTTCTGGTGAGGCTTCTCTTCCTGCCTTGTAGATGGCTGACTTCTCACTGTGTCCTCACATGGACTCTCTATATGTGCAGAGAAAGCACTGTTTGGTGTCTCTTCCTCTTCTTTTAAGGACACCAGTGCTAGCCTAGCAGGACCTCACTCTTCTGAACTTATGTAACCTTATAGATTTTATCTCCAAATATAGTCACATTTAGGGGTTAGGGTCTTACTAAGTTTCCTCGGCTGGTCTCAAACTTGAAAAACACCTGCCTCAGCCTCCTGAGTAGTACACCACCACTCCTGGCAAAAGTCCACTATTTCTTAAAGCTCTGCAATCTCTTTGGCTGGATGGTCTGCCCTCAAGTCCACTGGCACAACAGTGTCATCCGCACAGTCCTAAGCAGTGGACTCCCTCCCATAGCTCTTTGCCACAGCCCTGCCCTTGAAGTACTGGACCCAAAGAAGAGAGGGTCCAACTTATAGAACAGCCTTGCTCTTTGTACCCATGGATGAAGTGGCAGCACAGTTGATCTCTGAAATGCCTTAAGGGTCATTCTTCCCTTTTCTTTTTTTGGGGGGTGGGGGTACTGGGGATTGAACCCAGGGCACTTCACCTCTGAGCTATATCTCCAACCTGTTTTTATTTTTTATTTTGGTATAGGATATCACTAAGTTGCTGAGGCTGGCCTTGAACTTGCAATCCTCCTATCTCAGCCTTCTGAGTCACTGGGATTATTGGCAGGTGCCATTCTTGAAGGATAAAGCAAGTTCTAAGCCTAAAAGCTCTATTGCCCTGTCCTGTAGAATTCCAGAAATCCGAGAGCTTTCCTTTATTTCATCCTGATTCTGTTCCCTTTGATCCAAACTGGTAGTGTCTTTACTTGTACAATCCTATCCCAATACCTGACTTCTGCTAAAAATGGGGTTAATCTTACAGAGCAATTTTTCAGCCACAATCTTGGTGTTCACTCCACAATATGCTTTCTCATCTTTTACAATATGAATGGGCTGAAATTTTCAAGTTCTGGTTCTTATGGGCTTGACAATTCCTTCACTGTATATCCCCTCTCCCACATTTTGCACAAGCATCCAGGAGAAACCAGGCTACACCTTCAACACTTTGTTTAGGAATCTCTGCAACTAAATACGTGTCTAAATTTGTCACTCACAATTTCTACTTTGCACAAAACACTAGAACACAATTCAGTCAAGTCCTTTGCCACTTTATAACAAGGGTCACCTTTCCTCTATTTTTTTTTTAATTTTAGTTGTTGATAGACCTTTATTTTATTTATTTATATGCAGTGATGAGAATCGAACCCAGTGCCTCACACATGACAGGCAAGTAGGCTTCCTCTGAGCCCCAGCCCCAGCCCACCTTTCCTCTATTCTAATAACATGTCTCGTTGCCACCTGAGATGTCGCTAGAATCACCTTTAACATGTACATTTCTATTACATTACGTTCATGGTGATAGATGTGTTTCCCAAGACTATAGAAGCTTTCTCTATAACTCTTCTTCCTGAACCTTTGCCAGAATCATCTTTAACATCCACTTTTCTACCAACAGTCCTTCGAGGTAATCCAGGCTTTTTCTAGCATGGACCTCCAAGTTTATCCAGCCTCTCCCCATTACCCATTTCCAAAGCCAATTCCATATTGTTATGGAAGCACCATTAGTATTAGTATTAGTCTGCTAAGGCTAACAAAACACCACAGTCCAAATGGCCTACACAACAGAAACTTACCTTCTCTTAATTTTGAAGACTAAAAGTCCAAGATCAAGATGCCATCAGGGTTGGTTTCTGGTGAGGTCTCTCTGCCTTATAGATGGTCATGTTGCAGGTCCTCAAACATCTTCTCTCCACATGCGGAAAGAGAGCAAGCAAGTTCTGGTGTTTCTTATAAGAACAGCAGTTCACCAGAGCAGTGTCACAGGCTTGTAATTCCAGTGTCTCAGGAAGCTGAGGTAGGAGGATTGCTAACCCAAGGCCAGCCTCCCCAACTTGGCAAGACTCTCAGCAACTTACTGGGACCTTGTTTCAAAATTTAAAAATATATCTTTAAAGGGACTAGGGATGCATCTCAATGGTAAAACACCCCCTTGGGTGTGATCCCCAGTGCAGAAAGAAAGAAAGAAAGAAAGAAAGAAAGAAAGAAAGAAAGAGTAACAATAACTTCTGTTCTATCAGAGCAGGACCTCACCCTTATGACTTTTTTTAACCTTTATTGACTTTTTATAGACTATCTCCAAATGCAATCATATTGGGTTTAGAGTTTCGGCATAGGAATTTGGAGTGGGAGACTAATTCAATCTGTATGCGAGGCCACAGTCCTAGACCTCTGAGACTAGTTTTGGTGCTCTCTCCAACCAGCTCTGTGACCTTGAGTAAGTCACTTCTCCTTTGTGGGTCTGGGCTTCTAATGAATGACCTGGGAATGGGAATATTCCCCTCCGATCTGTTTCACCCAGGAGCTGTGAGGAGCTGTTACAATAATGACAGCGACCAACTATGTGAAGTAAAACATGCTCAAGTGCCATGCTTAACTGATGCTGTGAGCAATTCCCACAGACATCCAAACTTCATACGTGAAACTTATTTCCATTAGCTGACAGCCAGATGATCTTTGAATCAGCATGTGCCCCTAACACTTGAGGAGCTCAAGCTGAAGGTAGCTGGAGAAAAAGCCCAATGATCAACACACTATGGAGAAGTCAGAGCGTCCCTAGTTGTCTCACAGCCACCCTGCTCCACTCTTAAAACTCGGGAACAAGTACGTACATGGCTCTTGACTCCTGGAAGTCTTTCCATTTATTTGTAAAGAATGTATGTACTTTTTATAAAGAATACTACATCTCTACATAACCTTTAAAATATTTCTGACATTTAACCTAGTAATTGCATCTCTGGGAAACCATCCTAAAAAAATAATCTGCAGCGCACACACAGATTTATGGACTAGAATGTTCATAGTGGGTTATTTATAATAGTGAAAATATTGGAAGCAACCTAAATATGCAACTGTGAAGGAACAGTTCATAAATTATATAATATCCATATGATGGATTATTGTGCAGCCACTTAAAATGATGAGAGTTTAGGCTCTGATGTTAAGTGGGAAAAAAGCAGGATCCAAAATTACATTGAAGTATGATCTCAGCTATGTAAATAAAGGACATTTTTTTAAAAAGACTAGAAAGAAATGTGCCAAAATGTTAGCGGGGGTAACCTCTGCATGGTGAGACTATGGAGGAATTTTTTGTTTTGTTTTATTTGGATTTTTTAAATCTCT